GAGACTGAACCTAGCACCAGTGCAGCCTGTCACGGTCCACAACCATGCACGAAGACCGTCCACCAAACCCCCATGAGCCCGAAGCTGCTGGCGTGGGTTCCCGACATAAAGCTGGTCATAACCAAACTGGTGAGCGAATCGGCAGGGTAGATATGGCTCTATAAAACACTGATTCCCCACCCGAAAAGTCAGGTAGCCCGGGTGGGTTCCCAACATAAAGCTGGTCATAACCAAACTGGCGAACGAATCGGCAGGGTAGATATGGCTCTATAAAACACTGATTCCCCACCCGGAAAGTCAGATAGCCCGGCCTGATGTTCACTAGCCAATTAAAGTAGCCGATATCTAAATGAGTGCGATGTGCCATGCGGTACCGACATCATGTTAGAACGATGAAGGACGAACCAAGCCATCAAATAAATATACGGAAGCTCCACCTTAGTAGTAGGAATCTGAGTCGGCGATTCACTCTCCTTCCGTGTAAAAGCACCGGAAATCTGTCGAAGCCCTCGATGAATGTTAGCCACCATCACCGAAAGAAGGGAAAGTTCCTTTCTGTAGGCAAGTTGAACCGCAGGGTAGAGCACTTCCAGTGGCAGAGCGTCACCGGACTGATACGGGACCACGCATTTCTTTAACCAGATAGCGAGGTAACCGACGAGAAGGGTCATCGAGCCGGCAAGAAGAGTCATCGGACGAATCGGTGCGGTCGCATGGCATAAGAATGATTTGAATTTAGTCCCTGCAGTAAAGCCACTCTCAGGACTGCTAATGGTATAGGAGCGGGCGTCAGTCTTCTTCAGCAGCTTATTAACCTCTGAAGGAGTCAGCGGTGCCAATTCACAAATAGTTTCGCCAGAATGGCTCTCCAGATTCCTGAACAAATATGATGCGAACTGCTTCAGGCTCACATTTGATTTGGTCCTCTTCGCTAGGGGCTTAGACTGCGCCAAAGCAATGTGATAGTGACAAGTGAGGTCCCATAAGGTCTCGTAGCGGTCGGGCATGCGATCCTTCAGCTGACTCAACTCATGGTTGGAGGGAAAGTACTCCTGGTATAGCATCTGTCCCATGGGCAAGCCAGAAATCTTGTGCATCTCATGAAGAGCCAAGCCCAACTCTCCGTGCCTGGTCAGAAAAGTGTTGGAATCTGGATTATAAAGCTCGCATAGGGCAAAGAAATGCCTCGCACTAACAGGTAAACCATGCATGGTGGCACGAATGGCTGCATAAAGACCGCAAGCGTGCAACTCCTCGCTCCATCGGCTCAAGACGTACTTCGTCATACGAGCCCACCAAAACCTGTCCAAAGAATGGACCCAACCATAGAATCTGTGGCGCGGTGCAGGCATCTCCCGTCCTAAGATAGCGAGGCGATTCCTCAAAGTAGAAGCAGTGGCGAGGAACTCGTTACGAGGCGGAGTATCTAGCCCCAGTACTCCAGGACGCAGTCCAACAATGTGATCCCTGCTCGAACCAGGAACTGCCTGATGAGTAACATAGCCGCAGTGGACACTCTCATGCTCCTCTGTCAAACGCCACGACATCTCCCGTTTCACAGCCTGGCGCCTGAGCTCAGTCAAAGAACGGTGTCGAGGAATCTTCGGCAAATACATAAAACGACTGCCAGTCTGGTAAAACCACTGCTCAGCTTCAATAAATGCTGCTTCGGGAACGATGAAGGACGAACCAAGCCATCAAATAAACATACGGAAGCTCCACCTTAGTAGTGGGAATCTGAGTCGGCGATTCACTCCCCTTCCGTGTGAAAGCACCGGAAATCTGTCGAAGCCCTCGATGAATGTTAGCCACCATCACCGGAAGAAGTGAAAGTTCCTTTCTGTAGGCAAGTTGAACCGCAGGGTAGAGCACTTCCAGTGGCAGAGCGTCACCGGACTGATACGGGACTACGCATTTCTTTAACCAGATGGCGAGGTAGCCGGCAAGAAGAGTCATTGGACGAATCGGTGCGGTCGCATGGCATAAGAACGATCTGAATTTAGTCCCTGCAGGAAAGCCACTCTCAGGATTGCTAATGGTATAGGAGTGGGCGTCAGTCTTCTTCAGCAGCTCATTAACCTCTGAAGGAGTCAGCGGTGCCAGTTCACAAATAGCTTTGCCAGAATGGCTCTCTAGATTCCTGAACAAATATGATGCGAATTGCTTCAGGCTCACATTTGATTTGGTCCTCTTCGCTAGGGGCTTAGACTGCGCCAAAGCAATGTGATAGTGACAAGTGAGGTCCCATAAGGTCTCGTAGCGGTCGGGCATGCGATCCTTCAGCTGACTCAGTTCATGGTTGGAAGGAAAATACTCCTGGTATAACATCTGACCCATGGGCAAACCAGAAATCTTATGCATCTCATGAAGAGCCAAACCCAACTCTCCGTGCCTAGTCAGAAAGGTGTTCGAATCCGGATTATAAAGCTCGCATAAGGCAAAGAAATGCTTCGCACTAACGGGTAAACCATGCATGGTGGCACGAATGGCTGCATAAAGACC